TGAGGCGTGGCTTGGCGGCAAGATAAAAGTTAAGCCATGACAAGCCTTGGCGAGCCATGACGTTTTTCAAGGCTTGACTATTTTATATATATTAAAAGAGATAAATCATATAATTATTGATTTTTATCAAGTATATCAAGTTTTTAGAAGTGTTATATTAGTATTTAATATAAAAAGTTAACAAAAACTCAAATATTTTAGGCCCGATAAAAAAATTCAAAAAAAAAAAAAACAAAAAATATTCGCGCCTTGAAAAAAACTCACGCCATATCGCGATAAGGCGCGCCTTGCCACGTTATTTGGGCGTCACGCTTAACAAACCCGTCTTGGACGTTTTCGTAACGGCTACACCACGCCTCGCGCCATGGCACGCCTTGAGGCACGTCATGGCGCGTTTTTTAAAACCATGCTTAAACCTTATTCTTTCCATTTCCTTGTAATTATATGTCATCTCTTCGCTAAGTTTCTAATAAAATATTCAGCTATTTAAGAAAAAAAGAAAAGAACAAAGTTTTTTCATAAGGTAATTTAAATACACAAACTAAAGCTTAAATACATAAAACGATGTAGTAATGGTTTCTATAATATCACTTCAGTTGATATATATTTATGATTGATTTTCTCTTTTTCTTTAACATAATAATGGTTTCTTCGGTATCAATCTTATTTCTTTAATAACTTTAATCTTTTCAAATTCACCCCTTATATTTATATAGAATGTAAGGTTAATACCTTTTATTTATTAAGCTTTTAGTACATATCATTATCAATCTTATATATTAATTTGACGAAAAAAATGTTTGAAAATTTAGGAAAAATTTATATTTTTGGTCCTTCACATATATATATATATATATATATATATATATATATATATATATATATATATATATATATATATATATATATATAGGAAGAATCATTCGAGAACTTATAGTTTTCCGAGAACCTGAGAACTAAAAGTGGACCGTTGGATTAAAAAAATTAAGGGCTAAGATCTTTTATGGCATTTTTGTAAATAACTGGAAAGAAAAACACGGAAGGGTATCTTCATAAAAAAACATAAGGCCATTTTAGGGATTTAGAAATTAGCCTCAAATAAACAGATCAGATCCCTAATTTCTCTTTCTATCGCTCGTGCTCTTCTCCCGTTTTTCAACGACTCCATCGAGCACCTCCCTCTGCCCTCCGCCTCCGACGCCCACCTCTACCTTCGTCAACGACCACCACAGTCTAGGATTCATTGTTGTTGACCGTCAACGATCCACAATCATCTCGACTCCATTGAAGATGCGATCTCTTCTTCCTCATCAATACGTCTGTAGAAGACCACTAATACATCGGCCTACTGATTCAGAAAAGAAATCAAAGTCCACATCATCACTGTCTGTTCTCTCGTCTCCGACCGATTTGGAATCAACATCTCCTACGCCTCGACGATTCATATATGGATCGCAAATGCACAAAAATCAATTCATCCGTGAATCAACATCTCCAGATGAAGCCGCTTTAGTCACTGCAGCAAAAAACTTTGGCTTCTTTTTCTTCAGGTATATAACATTTTCTAGAATGCAATCACTCTCATTATCTTTCTACACATAACAATGCATAGAGTACAACTCATAATGCAGGTCGTACAAACACCAGCGATGAACTAAACTACACCTTACAAGTTACAACATGCACATGTATGTCACTTTACATCTCCAAGTAAAATATGTGAAAATGGGAAGATTTTGTTGTATTAAAAATTTACACTAATATGTATTTTATCACATACCAAAGAGACGGTTTTTAAGGATGAAGAAAAAGGTTTATTATATTTTTTTATACTTCATCACTTCCACTTTGGTTAGTGTTCTTTAGTATGTTGAATTTGCAAAGAGGACAGGTGGCAGCCGTTTATCTATACATGGGGCATGAAAATGGTGACAACACGGGAGCTCACAGAGTTCGGTTCCATCATCATACGAACAAAGGTAAATGCAACATTTCTGTAAAACAAAAATATGATATATATATATATATATATATATATATATATATATATATATATATATATATATATATATACAAAAAAAAGGACAACGGACAGGTAACATAGTTTTTTCATTCTTTATGCTAGATGCCTTATCTTGAGATGCTTGTCCATAATGCCTTAGAATTTCATGAAATTCATAATCTTGTCTATTCATCAAATCAAATATATACTTTAGCCAAGAGGATGCTTTAACTCATGTCCTTTAGGCAAGAGCCAATATAACTTATAAGTTCTTCTCTTACTATTATAGAACATTTAGCTTGTTAGGACAACTGTTATTTGTTTTTCTAATACAACTATATGATGCATAATTTCTGGAGCCACTTTTATTGGGATTTATATTTATTTTTTTACTCATGTACTTTGTGTCTATCTCTCTTTATATATATCATTTATCTTAGTGTGTGTGTTTAACTGTGACTGTTTCTTGATCCTAAGTTACGTATTTAATTGTGTATGAGAGTCTGTTACAAAATCGGTCCTACAAAAGATGAAATCACTTCCTCAGCATCTGCAGGATCCTTCCTAAATGCATGCCTTACACAATATGTTGAAGGCGCGATTCTTTCAAACAAAATCCTCCCCTCTTGTTGTTGATGATCGGCTGAGCTTCAACATCTAAATGTTGAAGAATCAATACTTGATAAGTGTATAAGGTAAATACAACAACACCTCAACTCTATGGAATTTGATCATAATCTAGACTTGATAAAGTAATTCCATTCCTTTACATGATTCCATCATACCAATTACATGTGATTCACATGTAAATCACATATGAATTACATGTGATTCACATATGAATTACATGTGATTCACAAGTGAATCACATATGAATTACATGTGATTCACATGTAAATCACAAGTGAATCACATATGAATTACATGTGATTCACATGTAAATCACATGTAATTCACATGTAAATCACATGTAATTCACATGTAAATCACATATGAGTTACATGTTATTCACATGTAACTAACATGTAATTCACATATGAATTACATGTAAATCATATGTAATTCACATATAATTCACATGTAAATCACAAGTGAATCACATATCAATTACATGTGATTCACATGTAAATAACAAGTTAATAACATATGAATACCATGTGATTCAAAAGTGAATCACATATGAATTACATGTGATTCACAAGTGAATCACATATGAATTATATGTGATTCACATGTAAATCACAAGTAATTCACATATTAATCACATGTAAATCACCAATAAATCACATATGAATTACATATGATTCACAAGTGAATCACATAAGAATTACTTATGTATATGAATTACATGTGATTCACAAGTGAATCACATATGAATTACATGTGATTCATAAGTGAATCACATATGAATTATATGCGATTCATATGTAATTCACATATTAATCACATGTAATTCAGATGTAAATTACATGTGCATTTTTGTGAGTGTTCTTGCATTAATCAAATTTTTTAATTTTCTTGTAGATTGTGAAGAATTTGTGTAAAATATTGAAGAGGTGAAAAGTGATAAATTGAAGAAAATATGAAAATCTTGATATGAAGAAATGATAACACTGTGAATCTTCGTAGCATTTTTTATTTTTTATATTTTATTTTGTATCGAATAAAATACTTGTACTATTATGTTTATAGATTTATTAATAAAAATGAGTTTTTTTATAATTACTTACGAATATTATAGTATAAGAAATATGCATATATTCATTTGAAAAAAATATGCATATATGCACCTAAAATATTGATTTTTTTTGTTAAAAAAAATAGAGTTTTTTTTAAATATTTTAGTTTTTTTATAAATTTACTGATTTTTTAAAATTTATATTTTTTAAACAAATGCACATTTTTTTAAAAAAAAATTGCAGTTTTTTTAAAAAATTTATGCTTTCCAAAAAAGTTAAAAAAATTTGCAATTTAAAAAAAAAAACGAATTTTATTTTTTTTATATAAAAAAATCCGAAAATTTGTTTTATAATGTTAATTTGAGAGCTTTTTATTAATATTTCAAATAATACAAAAAATTAAGTTGGATTGGTATGATGACGATCATGCCCTTAATGAATTAGTTTTGATCCAACGCTCCACTTTTACTTCTCGGGTTCTTGGGAAACTATGAGTTCTCAACTGATCTATATATATATATATATATATATATATATATATATATATATATATATAGAGAGAGAGAGAGAGAGAGAAAGAGGGTTAAAAGTATATTTTTGAAACTGAGAAGGATATAAACTGCAAGTAAGGTTCAAATTAAAGGGTTATAGATATAAATATTAAATATTAAATCCAAACGGTTAATGGGCACGGATTTGTAGATAGCTATGAGATTGATTTGAAAGATTTCATCACTTTCAAGACATTTTTACTAACATTTTCATAAAATTAACTGAATTGGTTGAAAAACTTAAAAACTGTCGAAAAGTAAATAATATTAAAATATATCTTTATTAGGCTAAGCGGAGTGGAGGTCGCCACCGTCCTCGCTACGCTCGCTAGCCAACTTGAAACACCGCCCCCTAGCACTTGCTAGGGGGATCGCCACCGGGCACTCGTCGAAGTTGTGGCCAGAAGAGAGAGAAACAACAGCGCATTGTGATTGGTTGGAAGAAGACGAAGCGGAAATCGGGTTTGGTGTTTGGTGTTATTTTGCTTTTGATCTAGGTTTTCGCTTGATGTTCTCCAAAACCAACAAAATCATAGAGGCTCGCCTGTTGATCGGTTCACTCTTCATCGAAGCACCTGCTCAAAAGAAAAAAAAAACTCCATTGATGCTCCCGCTCCAAAACTCACTCGACATACCAGATAATCTGGTTTAAAGGTTTGATTTGGGTTTTGAAGAGAAAAAATATAAAGGCAGGGGCGAAATTTGTTGAAGAACTATAAATTTTTTCGATAATATAAAGTGATTTGGAGAAATTGGCATCTACGGATGTCAATTATGAACCAGCGACTCAAGAATCTGTCTATTGAGAATTTCTCCTGTCAAGTATGAATTTGTCAACTGAGAATTGAGGTACACATGATTCATTACACAATCTATTTGTAATTATGTATAGTTTTGTATGGTGCTCTTTCTGTTTTTCTTTCATGATCAATACAGAGGACCTTGTGGAACATTGATAGGCACACACATGTACAAATGCTAACCGATTTCTTATTCTGTTTTTTTGTTTTTGGGATTTGATTTCTTATATTTTGTTTTTTTACCCCAGCGGTGTAGAACATAAAAATTGCATGTACTCTTTATTTTTGTATGAACACCAAGTGTTCCATAAAATTCCTCAATGAAAAACTTCCTACAGTTTTGAGCTCCTCTGCTTGTTTACACTTCTAAATCAAATGTAAATCTGGTTTTTATTGAATTTGTAAAAGAATATTATTTATGTGATTGTTAACACTTTGAAGTCAATCTTTTCATAGCATACTCTGTGATTTGCAATGACTGAACATACATTTTTATTTTTATTTGCTTTGTATATGATAAATCCAAGAAGGTAAGAGCAATGCTAAATGCAATTAGCACCCAAAATTGGTATTGTATTTGTAGGAGTGATATAATATGCTAATGTGGAGAACAAGATATGAAGCAGACTTACACGATCTGCATCAGTGGCCTTCTGTCTCATATATGTACTGGATGATGTGGTGATGCCTGACATGTTTGGCTTGTGTTGAGCAGCAGTATCTAGCCCTTCTTCTGTCCCTTGCTTCTGTCAACGACAAGGAAATAGCTAAATAAGATATTAATGTAAATATGTAATGATCATAAAAAGTATACAAATAGATGGATAGATGTCCGTGTGTGACATTATGTACCGAAGAGAACTTGGTTTTTTAAGTGACCTGATAGCATATTTGATGTTGTGTATTTCTGAAATTGTTTTCCAATATTTCTTCATGTTGACGCCTTGATTGTCTAACCTGTTGACATATGACATAATGTTGTATGAATTGCATAAGAAAAGATTCATGATATGGTAATCAAGCATTATGAATATACACATATGTGGGTCTACCTGATGGGCTTCCATGCTAAGAAAAAATCCTTCAGATGTAAAACTGCATCCGATTCCACTAGTGTCATGTGGTATTTCACTAGTGTCATGTGGTATTTCTCCTTGCATATCAGAGATCCCATTTCCTACAAGATACTCAACATAGTATGGAGGCATCTGTTGATATCCAATCCATTGAGAAGCAGAGTAGCTATCACAGTCTTCTACTTTAGTTATGTGTTTTTAAAAAATAAAAATTATTTAATATTAATTGTTTGTGTTTAAAAAAATATAATTTAATTAAATTTTTAAAAAAATGAAGTGTTAGGAGTGTTACCACTCCCTACCAAATGCTAAGAATTAGATGCTAAGAGAGAAAAATGACATGGCATTAAAAAAGATGATGTGGCAAGGTGTTAAGAGTGTTACCACTTCCTCTAGCCTTAGGAGTGTAGGATTATAAAACTAAAGATAGGAATAACATATCCCTTTTCATCTTATATAGTTATAGGGCCCACACAACCGTCTTTGATTTATTAATAAATCTCCTGAAATTTTTTAACCACAATTAATTGTATTTTTGCTCCATGGATATCCAAAATATATCACAAAAACCTAAAAAGACAAAAGTAACAAAAACTAAACTTTCACTTCATATCATTGTATTGTTGATTTATTATAAATGTAACAGTAAATTAAAAAATTTGTATTTATGCTATAGTGAAAGTTATGGATTTGGTCCTCGAATTTTTTTTTGAATGGACCACATCCTTGTCTTAATTAGTCCCGTTAAATATTTGTATAAAGGACATGTTACCCTTATTTTATATAAACTTATTCCCCACCCCATCCCCTCTTTATTGGTTGATTGACTTTTTAAAGAATCAAATATATTAAATTTATTAACAATATGTGCCATTATTTTGTCAAGAAAACATAAATGAACATATAAATTATGATTTTCCATCTTTTGTAATAATTTTCATTTTTATCTCCTGAAAACTTCTATCCAACCCCTTTCTCCCTCTTATCATTGGCGCCTTCTTCATCACTGCTCCATAGGTGGAATATGAGAGTAGTGTGGTGTGGATCACAAATCACATCTTCATAGGAAAGGTTCAATTCTATTTCTGTCAAGAATGTGTTTGTTTTCTTCATTTAGAATGTTAAGGTTGTTGGTGTTTACGGCTTCCAACTTAGTGACTGTGATTTAGATTTTATCTAGAGTTATTGATTAAACAGCAGAGCAAGATGAATCTCAAATGCCAAAAGATAAAGGAGGCAATATAGTAATCTGACACATTTATCATCGATGCTTACAAAGACAATCTGATTGATTCATAAAAAAAAAAATTAAGAATCGAATGGGGGCAATATAGTAATTTGATTAAAAACAGAGCAAGATGAATTTTAGATGCCAAAAGATCATGGGGGCAAACCCATGACCATAAATCCACTAACCTAAACCGGCTTAAAATAAATAAAGAAAACATAGAATTTGTTGTCTATCTAACAAACTAAATATAAATAACTATCAATTGAGTTGTCTTCCCTGTTTGTTGGTTAGTTGACTTTTTGGAGATTATACGGTTATCAGCTTAGTGGTATTACATACTTTTTAAGTTTTAGAAATTGGATTTTTTTTCCCTCTTTTTTATTTTAATGGTTGGATGACTTTTGAAAAAAAATACAAATATCAGTTGAGTTTTCTTTCTTATATATGAAGTTTAGACATTGAATTTGTTTTATCTTTTCTTTTTATTGGTTGGTTGAATTTGAAAAGAAAATACAAATATATGAAACATAAATGAGCATTAAAATTATGAAAGTATGATCTTCCATTTTTTTTGTAATTATAGGGCTTATAGGGCTTAAATAAATCTGCGATTCTCATTTTTTTGTTAAAATTTGTTTTGACATGGTCAAGACCCAACTTTGTGGGTTTTTTTTGTAACGAGTTTTTGAATTCTACAAGTATATGTTGTAATATAATTCCAAGATAAAGAGATGATTAGATTTAAATGTATGAAATATATTGGAGTATTTTACTTAGTTTGAGAAACATTAACTACTTCATGTCAGTTTATAATTAATACTTACTGATTATTTTTGAGTTTCATATTTTCTTCAAAAGGCAAGGAAGAAAGAATTAGAAAAGTTAAAGAACAATTGCAGACAAACTTACTGAGCATAAGAATGGTCTCTAGTTTCTCCTCATTGTCCCACCACATGAAAAGAAAGTGTGTTTTTGAGTTGTTTTTTTTTCTAATAACAGGGGAAATATACGGGAGTAGAGAACAATGATATTGGAAGCAGTGGAATATATTGAAAATATATTTTAGGGTTATTGTCATTATAGTCTAACAAAGTGTATAACTTCCTAGACTGTTAAGAACACATGGTGAAGATTTTTGGGTTACACCAATTTCCGAGATTCAAACAACGCTTGCACTTTTTCGAGTGGACCAATCAAATCACTATTACAAAGATCTTATTTGTGAAATGAACTTGAAGGCTTCCAACTTGACACAAATTTTTTCGAGTGGGCCAATCAAATCACTATTACAAAGATCTTATTTGTGAAATGAACTTGAAGGCTTCCAACTTGACACAAATAAGTATGCGATGGTATATTTACTTAGGTTATGTTTAGTAATGTTGGTTGTTTTGTTCATTTTGATTGTTTTAGTTCTTGTTCATTAATAGTTGATGTGTCGAAAAGATGTTTGTACTTGTAACAACATTGTGCCTTATTTCTGTCTATTTCCAAAGGCATTCCATTGTTGGTTGTTGGGTAATTCTAACTGTGGTTTGTGACCATACATATACATTTGCGTACATATGCATATAACATTATATGTATTACATACTTATTTGCATTCTAATTTGACCAAATTTACATATATATGAAAAATGTATGTATCCCATTTTGCATTCAAGTTCCAAATTACATACATACATATGCATATGCTATGTATGACATTTTATTTCAACCTAATAGTTAGTCTTCATACATATCGTATGACAGATATACATACAATTGCATATGACATATACATACATATACATATGACATATATGCAGGCAAGATGCATACATTTTCACATGACCAAATTTGCATTCTAGATCGAAGTTCCATGCAGCAAGTCCCACATGTTTGAGATGTATCGTATATTAAAGACATATTTTACCATACAATTTTCGATCTAATCAGTTCAAATGTAATCCTTTTCAACAAAAACAACAGCCATGACCAATAAACAAACAGCAAAGAATTTGAGACTAAAGTGACTCTTGAGTACATTTCTCAGCATAAACTTTGGTTGACAACTTGACATCAACCAATTCATGAAAGTAAAATTGGTACCACAGATCATTTAATGGTGACCCAAAAGGTTATGTGGAGGGGGGAAATGGTAGGTAGTCGAACGACCTCTGGGAATTTGTCTATCAAAGCCGACATTTCCATAAAATCTTGATAGAGGAATTCAAATCATGTTGTATGATAAATGTCTTTCTGTAATCAAACCCCCCATCCCAAAATTCTGAGGAATCTGTCGGGACTTTTGGTGTTTGCATCCGATCATCTTCAGGAACAAGTACAACTCTAAACCTGTGCACATCTCCATAAAAATCCTCATTGCATGAAAACGAAATCGTGGGTAGTCACGTTTGGGAATATGTCTACCAACTCACAGGTTTCCATACAATCTCGATAGAGGAGTTTGAATCATGTTGTAATGTAAATGTCTTTCCATAATTGAATTCCTCATCCCAAAATCCTGAGCAATCTGTTGGGTCTTTTCTTGTTTGCATCACATCATCTTTAGGAACTAGTACAGCTCTAAATGCATACCAATCTCCATACAAACCCTCATCGCCTAAGGAAAATGAAATGATATTGTATGTTGAATTCAAGCATCCAGTATGCCTCAACGATCTAAAGGAAAAATATCCCAAATATATTGTATCATGATAACAAGTCTCGATTCCTGTTTCATTAGACACCTTCAGATGCAGAGATTGAAAATCTTTGTCTAACACCCGCTTCATACTTATATTAATTTCTGGATCAAGGTCCCTAGATCTGACGAACATCAAAATCCCAGAAAAGTCATTGTACCAATCATGTGGAAGCGGCATATTATAAGGCTCCAGCCAGTCAACCCAAACTCCAGAGCGCCCCCTCCAAATGTCAATGCCTAAAATCTTAATACTGATAAAGTAATCTTTGGCGTTTCCCTGCCACAAAACAAACACATTCCATTATATGATCAAACTTTATTCTTCTTATGTTTCAGTTTATATATATAAAGAAAGAAAAATCAAAATCAAAAGCCAAACCTGGAGCATGGCTTTTAGTAAAATGTCACCACCAAGTGGACCAAGTTGGTTGTCTCCCAGAAGTGAGACTTTCCACAACCATTTACAGTTTGAAATGTCTCCAAAGCTTTCAAGTGAGCTACAATAATCTGCTATAACAACAGATATACTTGATGGCAGCCCTGACAATTCTACAAGTTCTTCGCAGCATGACACATTAAGCCATTTGAGCCGAGGAAGTCGGAAGAGACCAAAATTCAATCGTGAAAAGTTGTTTTCTTCAAGATCGAGTACTTGCAAGTTGGGTATGTCCCAAATATCAGTAGATATGATGTCTCCATCTTCCAAACTGCACAGACTGAGATCCAGCTTTCTCAAGCATCCACTAAAAAACCATATCTCTAAACAGGGTCCAATGTTCATGTTTTGAGGTAGAATATTGCATCCTGAGAGTGAAAGAGTCTCGAGTTGCTTCGAACTTTTAATGGGTGGAACCATATCAAGAGTGTAACAACCTTCTATTGTTACATAAACAAGCTTTTCCAAATGTGCAAATGATGGATGAATCTCCTTTAAAGACAGAGCTTCATAAACCATGAATATTTCAAGGTTCAGAAGCCCCTTAAAATCTGGTGTCTTCATAAGGTTCTTCAGGTTCTTCAGTTTGATCATTCTCAAGTTTGGTAGAGACTGTATACATGGGTGCACATAAGTTAAATGTATGCCAACTTCATGGAAAATGGGTATATATATATATATGTATATGTATTCATTTTAAAGAAAATATGATGAACCATCTTATTGTTTATAATGTTTGTAAACATGATTGGTAAATATTATTGTTTATATAAAACCACGCATGTTTATAAAATTGATGGTTAGAGATCATCACATTTGTAAAGAAAATCTGACTTCATGAAAGTAATCAATTTTTGATGATAACAAAATTGTCATACCAGATCGGTATCTTGAATTATAATGCAAACCGTGTTTATAAAAGAATTGCCTTAAAACATTTGTTTATAAAAAATGTATCATTATAGGAGGATTTAGAATTTATCATCAAAAGTACTTATAATATAAAAACTTATTGCAAAAAGATAGGAATCTTACAAAAAAAAAAAAAAAAAAAAAAAAAAAAAAAAAAGTTTATCGACATAAAATTGTCTATCTCCTTATTATTCTAATAAATGAATAGGTTTATTCTCGTATTGACAAGTGTCATAATATTAGAATTACTCATTAATATTAAATATCACCTATCATGCCACTTGTCAACCTATTAATTATCCATTTCAAATTTTAAATTTCTCACTCTAATTACATTAAATTAATAATTGATTCTTCATTTTAAATTTCAAATTTTAAAATTTTTCACTTTAATTATATTAAATTAATAACATTAGATTAAAAAATAAACTAAAATTAAAACAAATTATAAGGTGATATAATTTCACATATTTTTTAAGTAATAATTTCTTTAAAATAATTGATTAATAATTTTGATTTTTTAATATGAAATTTTAATTAATTTTATAACCGTGATTCTCACGGGTTATAAACTAGTGTTTTAATAAATCTGTTTACATATAAAATATGGCCTCATTTACAAATTTATCATTGATAACGATGTTTTAAATTCTAATAGATGTCAATAATAGAACAATAAAATCGAAAACTAAACTGATTTAAACAGATTCGGTTTCAGCTTTAAACATGTTTGGTCCTAAACCAAACCTTGAACTCCCAAACCTAAAACATCAATGTTTTAAGCTTGAGAAAAAAATAAAAGAAATAAACTCTTAATTTTAGAGAATATTAGCTTCATATTCATAAACAAAAGAAATAAACTTTTAGTAAGTAATATATTCGTTCTAATAAGAGCCTATCATTTAATGGTTACTAGATACATTAAAATCTAGCCATTTATGCACATGTGAGCTTCATATTGAGAGAGAGTAATTTAAATTATTGATTTAGTCATTCACTTTGCTTTCATCCATTAAACAATAAGAATTACCTTGTAACCCTCCCACAGTTGTTTTGCATTGATGTCTTCCAATGTTAGACAGCAAAGCTCCATTGGTGGAAAATTTTCTGGCATTATAACTTTT